GCCTGAGTGAAGAGTTTTCTACTGAATGTACCAAGTTCCAATTTTTAAGGGGGCAAAAACTCTCAAACAGGGAAAAATGCAAAAAAAAAAAAAAATTACTGAAAATTCCCACAAATCTTGTTTCTTCCAATTTTTAAGGGGGCAAAAACTCTCAAACAGGGAAAAAAAAAAAAAAAAAAAAAAATTACTGAAAATTCCCACAAATCTTGTTTCTGGCACTTTAGAAAAACTGCGAAAAAATACATAATAAAGAATACATAAATATATATATATATACACACACACACACAAATTATATATATCTATATATACAGCGGAACCACAGGAGAGACTGAGGAAGGCTTGAAGGCAGGGGGTGGCTGGTAGTGCCCCATATCCTTAACCTGTACTCCTCTGAGGCAAACAGGCATGGGAAAATGGAAGGGGTTGGGAATGGACTAGGGAATTTGAATTTCAGAATAGGTCAAAATTCTAAAACTATGGACATTTTGGGAGATTGTAGACATTTATTTTTTTTTTAAAAAGGAATATAGGTTCCAGAATTTTGGTGTTTCTGGGCAATAAATGAGATTGTAGCTAAGTGGAGATTAAAATATATGTATTTGAGCTGGGGGATTTGAACATAAGTTTGGAAGTAGAGGATTTTGCAGTTTCATCTTTTGAAAATGATTAAGTTTTGTCAGTTTGTGCCCTCTTTCCTCATGTTCCCTGGGAAGCAGGGTAACAGCAGAGTGGGAAGGCTACTGGTTCTGTGCCACAGCACGCAAGATTTAGAATTCTACAGACTCTAGCTCTATATGTAGTGAGGACCCAGATTTTAGAGAAACTGACCAATATTTATCTCCGCATTTGTGTGTGTGTCCAACTCTCTAGGCCAATAAACCAACAAGAAAGACAAACTGCTCCATGGTGGGATGCCAGGTGCAATTATTTGTGTGGCTGGAGGGTCTGGGGGAAAGGGACATGCTAACTTTGTCTCACAGGGTTTCCTGGGAATTGTATTCCTATGCTCCCTCTTAAAGATAAAAACTTACGGCTCGGCGCCTATAGCTCAACCGGCTAAGGCGCCAGCCATGTACACCTAAGGTGGCGGGTTCGAATCCCCAGCCCGGACCCGCCAAAACAACAATGACGGCTGCAACCAAAAAATGGCTGGGCATTGTGGTGGGCGCCTGTGGTCCCAGCTACTTGGGAGGCGGAGGCAGGAGACTCGCTTGAGCCCAGGAGTTGGAGGTTGCTGTGAGCTGTAATGCCACGGCACTCTACCCAGGGGGATAGCTTGAGGCTCTGTCTCAAAAAAAAAAAAGATAAAAACTTACAGAAATTTAGGTATGAGGACTTGTTGACTCTAGGTATCCCTGTAATTGCTGTAGCCACTAAACTCAAGCTGACTTTGATCCAGTCTCCAGGCAGAAACATTAACAGTTCACATAGCCTGCTGTACACAACTGCTAGGTCCACGTCCAGAATGGCCCTACCTTAAACAGGGAAAGGAAAGTGGGGCACAAAATGTGTGATGGCCATAAGACTTTCTTTATTCCACTCCTAGGCTCCCCATTGGCTTCAACTCTTTGCCCCTCCTCCCGTCCCCTTTTCTAGAGATAACATGGAGGAATACAGATACCATACATACAGTTATAAAAGGATGGGCAAGTAAAATGAGTGAAGCCAGTCAGGCAGACAGGGACTTTGTGGAATTCTGGCATAAATAACTTGACCAGAGTGGGCAGCCACTAATCAGCTCTAGCAGGTTGTTGCCAACAGGAAACTCAAGCCTGGTGTTGCTATAGTTTTTCCATATTTTTCAAGAAAAGCCAGAAATCTGCTTGGTGCCTGTAGCTCAACTGCACCAGAGCTGGCAGGTTCGAATCCAGCCTAGGCCTGCCAAACAATGACAACTACAACCAAAAAATACCCAGGCATTGTGGCGGGCACCTGTAATCCCATCTACTTGGGAGGCTGAGGCAAGAGAATTGCTTAAACCCAGGAGTTAGAGGTTGATGTAAGCTGTGATGCCACAGCACTCTACCCAGGGTGACAGCTTGAGGCTCTGTCTCAAAAAGAAAAGAAAAGAAAAGCCAGAAATCCAAATTTCTCTGTGAAATGTCCAAATTTAGAAGTAGCCAAATGGTCAGGCATAGTGGCTCACACCTGTAATCCTAGCACTTTGGGAGGCCAAGTTGAGAGGCTTGCTTGTGATGAGTTCAAGACTAGCTTGAACAAGAGCAAGACCCAACTCTACAAAAAATAGAAAAATTAGCTGGTGTAGTAGTGCATGCCTCTAGTACGGAGGATGAAGCAGGAAGCTTGCTTTAGCCCAGGAGTTCAGGTTGCAATGAGCTATGATGATGCTACCATATTCTAGCCCAGGTGACAGACCAAGACCTTGTCTACAAAAGTAACCAAATTGAATTTAAAACTGTCCAAGCCAACAACATGGGCCAAATAAAACACACCAGTTTGCAACCTCTGGTATATACTGTACAGTACTTTTGTTCTCATCTTCTCATGTGATTCTCAGACAATAATATACTATTATTAGTTTCATTTTACTGGTGTGAAAACAGATTTAGGGAAGTGCAGGGACTTGTTTGAGTACCAAAGCTGCAACTTGGAGGTCTTCAAAATGCTTTTTTTCTTTTCTCGTTACAAATACATACTTTTAGAAATAACCTTTTTTTTATGCTAAAGATAGCACTCATTACAAAACATAATTATAGAAATGTGAAAGCAAAAATGACTATGTCCCCACATGCAAAAGAAGCACTATTAATTGATGTGTTTCATTCTAGATTCCCCCCATTTATTTATTCATAGATTCCATACTCCAAATAACTTATTTGTTATTTATTTAACAAATGTTAAGCATTTAATATAGGTTGGGACCTGTGCAAGGTGCTAGGAACCTATAGTGAACAAGACACATTTCCCAACTTCATAAGGTTTACAATCTAGTTCTTGTTCTTTATTCTATTTAATTGGGGA